TCACCAGACTGGAGTGCAGTGGCGTGATCTGGGTTCACTGCAACCTCCGCCTCCCGGGTTCAAGTGATTCTCCTGCCTCAGCCTCCCGAGTAGCTGAGACAACAGGCATGCGCCACCACATCTGGCTCTTTTTTTGTATTTATAGTAGAGACAGGGTTTCACCATGTTGGCCAGGATGGTCTCGATCTCCCGACCTCAGGTGGTCTGCCCACCTCGGCCTCCCAAAGTGCTGGGATTACAGGCGTGAGCCACCGCGCCCGGCCAATCCTTTCTTGTTACTTTCCTTTAACCCAGAGTTTCTCAATCTTGGCACCATTGATATCGTGGGATGGATAATTTTTGGTTTCAGTGGGACATCCTGTGAACTTTAAGAACTTTAACGGCATCACTGGCCTCTTTTTAGGACATACCAGTGAGGCAGGATAGGGAGTCAAGGAGTGATCGTGTCCTCAGGACACAGCAACCATGGAGTCCATATAATCAACACAATAAGCCTCAGCATTCGCACTGTAGTTCAGCTCATTCAAGCAAAGCTATCTTCAGCAGGGAATTTCCCCTGTAGGAGCATGTGCACTTTGATTTTACCTGTCCTCAGACACCCTTTGCTCATTATAATAGTAAAAAACAGGCCAGGCGTGGTGGCTCACGCCTATAATCCCAGCACTTTGTGAGGCTGAGGTGGGCGGATCACCTGAGGTGGGGAGTTCGAGATCAGCCTGACCAACATGGAGAAACCCCGTCTCTACTAAAAATACAAAATTAGCCAGGCGTGGTGGCACATGCCTGTAATTCCAGCTGCTCAGGAGGCTGAGGCAGGAGAATCGCTTGAACCCAGGATGCAGAGGTTGCAGTGAGCCGAGATCACGCCATTGCACTCCAGCCTGGGCGACAAGAGCAAAACTCCATCTCAAAACAAAAAAAAAGTAAAAAACACACCCATGGGGGGAGATGCCAATGAGACATGCGACGTTTGAATAGCTGTGTACAGCTACTGCACCTGGGCACCCAGCGGAGCACCCAGAACATGCTTATTAGTAACACCTCTTCCCACATCCTCATGAATAATCATGGACGTCTCCCACAAAGGGAATCCCCTAACACCAGTCTTCGCTGTCTCATCCTTAGGAGCACCCCAGCCTGAATTCTCTCTCTCAGGGTGTATTGTCTATTTTTCACCTAATTTTCAAAATATTATTTTTGGGCCGGGCG